ATTCGTTCTACACTGTAGAGCAGGCATGAGCAAACTTTGGCTCTCCGGGTGCTTTGGACTTCAACTCCCACAATTCCTGGCTTTGAGGCTGAGCCCCCAAGCTCCCACAATCAAGTTGATCTGAACCGCAGCGGGGAGTTCCGCAGTTCCAGGACATCTGATTGGGCCAACAATGAGGGGACTGTGGCCACGGCAGCAGTTTCAACTAAAAATCACCTTCTGCTTTCCTTTGTAATAACATTGTAATGATCCCCAATAAAAGTATCCTTCGAATGCAACTTTTTCCCCTCATAGTGATACATTGTGTCTCTTTACTGCCTCTAACACTCTCTCTCTAACATGAACCTTTCCCTTTCTGAGCCGCAGATCACTGCTGGCTCACTCAGGATGCTCTTAGAACATCCCAAGAAGACTGAAACTCCATTCCTCTGAATCATGATCGAGTGTGGTCTACTCCATGAGGTTACGATTGATTTGATTTGAATCATGGATATGGAAACCCTTTGGGGCCGTGGGTCAACAGATCGACTCCACTGTTGGCTCACCCAGGATGCTCTTACAGCATCCCGGGGAGGCTGAAACTGGGTTCCTCTGAACCATGGATACGGAAACCCTTTGGGCCCCCATATCCGTGGGACAACAGATCGACTCCACTGTTGGCTCACCCAGGATGCTCTTACAGCATCCCGGAAAGGCTGAAACTGCGTTCCTCTGAACCATTGATACGGAAACCCTTTGAGCCCCCGTATCCACGAGTCAACAGATCGACTCCACTGTTGGCTCACCCAGGATGCTCTTACAGCATCCCGGGTAGGCTGAAACTGCGTTCCTCTGAACCATGGATACGGAAACCCTTTGGGCCTCCGTATCCGCGGGTCAACAGATCGACTCCACTGTTGGCTCACCCAGGATGCTCTTACAGCATCCTGGGAAGGCTGAAACTGTTTTCCTTTGAACCGTGGATACGGAAACCCTTTGGGCCCCCGTATCCGTGGGTCAATGGACCGACTCCAAACCAATGCCATCTTTCTCCTAGACTAATTTTGAGACTAACTGCTATCTCACTTTTTGCATTATGGACATCTGCACCCTGGGGAAAGCATTTTTACCCCCCAAACCTCATGTGGAGACCAGCTGACTTGGATCCATGGTTCCATGCTGTTACAACATTTGTGCCTCCATCTCATGTGTGTCCAGAAGCCTGCCAACCCTGGGGAACCTGCTGGCCTCTGCTTTGGCAGGGTCTCCTAAATTCATGTTCAACATCGGCTTCAGGCCCTTTCCTGAAGCTGGAAAGGGCCTGAGGCCAGGAATTGTGGGAGTTGAAGTCCAAAACACCTGGAGGGCCAAAGTTTGCCCATGCCTGGTATAAAGGTAACCTTTGTTACATGCAGCCTTGATCAAGGTCATGTTTGTTGCACATTCAAAAACCACACCTGTGAGAACATCCTCCATGAGGCTTGCAACATCTAAGCGGATTAAGAGATTGGAAGGGAAGTTCACAGAGTTTTGGGTTTGTTTACTCTGAAAAGGAGGAAAAGGTGAATCAAAGGACAGAGGTGCAGAAAAGGAAACACAAGGCCCAAAAGATAGATCGTACAATGGAATGCATGCAATTTGACACCACTTCAGCTGACCCTGGGAGTTGTAGTTCCACAAGGTCTTCGGGATTTCTAGCTCAGCAAGGCACCACTGCTATTTGGCAGAGAAGCCAAAGACCTTGTGGAATTACAACTCCCAGGATAAGCTAAGGTGGTGCCAAACTGCATGCATTCCATTGTACGATCTACCTTTTGGGCCTGTGTCTCCATACCGAGGAGTGTTGGGAGTTGTAGTTTGATGAGATGCTTAGAGCTCTGTAAGCCCATTCATCTATACAAGGGGCCTGGGATTTCTAGTTTAGCAAGGCACTACTACTATTTGGCAGGGAAATAAGGCCCCTTGTATAGCATGAAAGGGTCCACAGAGCTCTAAGTATCTCATCAAACTACAACTCCCGACACTCCTCAGTATGGAGCCACAGGAGTGTCGGGAGATGTAGTTCGATGAATACTTAGAGCTCTGTGGACCCTTTCACACAGAACTCCCATGACCAACAGAAAATACTGGAAGGGTTTGGTGGGCACTAACCTTGAGTTTTGGAGTTGTAGTTCACCTTAATCCAGAGAGCACTGTGGACTCAAACAATGATGGATCTGGACCAAACTTGGCACAGATACTCAATATGCCCAAATGCGAACACTGGTGGAGTTTGGGGAAAATAGACCTTGACATTTGGGAGTTGTAGTTGCTGGGATTTATAGTTCATCTACAATCAAAGAGCATTCAGAACCCCACCAATGGTAGAATTGGCCCAAACATGGCACACAGAACTCCCATGACCAACAGAAAATACTGGAAGAGTATGCTGGGCACTGAACTTGATTTTTGGAGTTGTAGTTCACCTACATCCAGAGAGCATTGTGGGCTCAAACAATGATAGATCTGGACCAAACTTCGCACGGATACTTAATATTCCCAAATGTGAACACTGGTGGAGTTTGGGGAAAATAGAGCTTCACATTTGGCAGTTGTATTTGCTGGGATTTATAGTTCACCTACAATCACAGAGCATACTGAATGATATAATTGGGCCAAACTTCCCAAGCAGAACCCCCAGGACCAATAGGAAATTCTGTGTTTTCTGGTGGTCTTTGCCGACCCCTCTTACACCCCCTCGTAAACCCCTGCTCGCTCCAGGGGTCCCCACCCCCAGGTTGAGAAACGCTTTTATTTTTTATTTGTCGTGTCAGGGCAACCAGTCAATTATATTACATTTCTAACGGAACAAAGCAAACAAACAGACAAAATACAAAATTTGTGAGTTTGGGAGTTGATGAAATGTCCTTTGACCCGTATCTGGCCCCTTGGAGTGCCTCTGGTGTTGCCGCAAGAAGGTCCTCCATGGTGCATGTGGCAGGGCTCAGGTTGCATTGCAGCAGGTGGTCAGTGGTTTGCTCTTCTCCACACTCGCATGTCGTGGATTCCACTTTGTGGCCCCATTTCTGAAGGTTGGCTCTGCATCTCGTGGTGCCAGAGCGCAGTCTGTTCAGCGCCTTCCAAGTCGCCCAGTCTTCTGTGTGCCCAGGGGGGAGTCTCTCATTTGGTATCAGCCATTGGTTGAGGTGCTGGGTTTGAGCCTGCCACTTTTGGACTCTCGCTTGCTGAGGTGTTCCAGCGAGTGTCTCTGTAGATCTTAGAAAACTATTTCTTGATTTAAGTCGTTGACGTGCTGGCTGATACCCAAACAGGGGATGAGCTGGAGATGTCTCTGCCTTGGTCCTTTCACTATTGGCTGCTACTTCCCGGCGGATGTCAGGTGGTGCAATACCAGCTAAGAGTAATTTCTCCAGTGGTGTGGGCGCAGACACCCCGTGATAATGCGGCATGTCTCATTAAGAGCCACATCCACTGTTTTAGCATGGTGAGATGTGTTCCACACTGGGCATGCGTACTCAGCAGCAGAGTAGCATAGCGCAAGGGCAGATGTCTTCACTGTGTCTGGTTGTGATCCCAGGTTGTGCCAGTCAGCTTTCGTATGATATTGTTTCTAGCACCCACTTTTTGCTTGATGTTCAGGCAGTGCTTCTTGTAGGTCAGAGCACGGTTCAGAGTGACTCCCAGGTATTTGGGTGCGCTGCAATGCTCCAGTGGGATTCCTTCCCAGGTAATAATCCTCAGAGCTCGGGGTGCTTGTCTGTTCTTAAGGTGAAAGGCACATGTCTGTGTTTTAGATGGGTTAGGGATCAGCTGGTTTTCCCTGTAATAGGCAGTAAGAACACCTAGAGCTTTGGAAATTTTTTATTTTATTATTTAGGCGATCCCTCGTTGGACGAGTAAGATGGTCTTCCATTATGGATTTCCTTGTGGGTCCGTATGTGGCTGTGGAGCCCTATTCTTGCTCTGCATCTTCTTCCGCAGTGAGGGCATTGGTTTCCAGGTGGAAGGTGGTCCCGGTCGGGGTTGGCTTGACGCGCCTTCCTCCTGGCACGTTTCACTCTTTCACCCTCCACTCGTGCCTCCTCAAATTCTGCAGCACTGCTGGTCACAGCTGTCCTCCAGCTGGAGCGCTCAAGGGCCAGGGCTTCCCAGTTCTCAGTGTCTATGCCAGAGTTTTTAAGGTTGGCTTTGAGCCCATCTTTAAATCTCTTTTCCTGTCCACCAACGTTCCGTTTTCCGTTCTTAAGTTCAGAGTAGAGCAACTGCTTTGGGAGACGGTGGTCAGGCATCCGGACAACGTGGCCGGCCCAGCGGAGGTGATGTTGGAGGACCATCGCTTCAATGCTGGTGGTCTTTGCTTCTTCCAGCACACTGACGTTTGTCCGCTTGTCTTCCCAGGAGATTTGCAGGATTTTCCGGAGGCAGCGCTGATGGAAACGTTCCAGGAGCTGCATGTGACGTCTGTAGACAGTCCACGTCTCACAGGCATAGAGCAGGGTTGGGAGGACAATAGCTTTATAGACAAGCACCTTGGTATCCCTACGGATGTCCCGGTCCTCAAACACTCTCTGCTTCATTCGGGAAAATGCTGCACTTGCAGAGCTCAGGCGGTGTTGTATTTCGGTGTCAATGTTGACTTTTGTGGCGAGGTGGCTGCCAAGGTAGCGGAAGTGATCAACATTTTCTAATGTTACACCATTAAGCTGTATTTCTGGCATTGGAGAGGGATTGGCTGGTGACTGCTGGAAGAGCACTTTGGTTTTCTCAGTGTTCAATGACAGGCCGAGCTTCTCGTATGCTTCTGCGAAGGTGTTTAGAGTGGTTTGTAGAAGCTTTGGAAAACTTCTGTTCTACCATCTCAAAGCTGACCTAGAGTCAGAAGGCTATGCTGTTTTCCCATTGGCGAGCGCTCCCTCTAGCGACCACTCTGGGTAGTGCGCCTTTTTGCGGATGGATTGAGAACTGGGGACCTGGATGGGGAAGGTGACGTCACAGCAGTGGGGGGGGGGGGATAAAAAGGAGGGAGGGGCTGGAGCATAAAAGGGCCGGAGTGGTGCTGCGCCATTCGGACAGTCCGAGGAGGGAAGAAGAGCAAAGGACAGGTAAGAGAGAGTGGGAGGGATTGCAAAGGGGAGCATGCCTGAGGAAGGTGAGATGCAATGCAAGAGGGAAGGGATTACTTTTGCAAGGCTTGCAAAGCTCCCATCAAAAATATAACCAAACACAATGTTAGTTTATCCCCCGCTCCATAAGAATGGGGTATGAGTCTGCAAAACACGAAAGTCAGCCCCCTTTTTTGCCCATTCACACGTGCATGCGTGCAAAAAGCGTGCAAGATGCGTGTTTGAGTTCTTTCCTGCTCCTGTGGTTGTGGATGGAATGAAAAAGAAGATAAACCCGCAAATTGACGCGCAGGGGGTGTCTTGTGTGAACGTGGAATGGGGAACACGTGTCATCATGCGTGTTTGCAGATATTACATATTATGGTTATTGTTTTGAACCCCGTTTTCCTTTTTGGCTCGAGTTCTGTACTTATTTCCTCTTACAGAGCATCCTTTTTAAAGGGACCACAACTCCCAGCATGCTGGTTGGAGGATGATGGGAATTATGGGAGTTCCCAATATTAGATTTATTTTGCAAATATTACATATTATGATTATTAGTTTGAACCCAGTTTCACTTTTTGGCTCAAGTTCTGTGCCTATTCCCTACTATAGAGCATCTTTTTTTAAAGGGACCACAACTCCCAGGATGCTGCTTGCAGGATGATGGGAGTTATAGTTTCCTCCAATTCCCAAAGCTGTGATTTATTTTGCAAATACTACATATTATGATTATTAGTTTGAACCCCATTTTTGGCTCAAAATCTGTGCCTATTCCCTACTATAGAGCATATTTTTTTTAAAGGGACCACAACGCCCAGGATACTGGTTAAAAGATGATGGGAGTTATAGTTTCTTCCAATTCCCAAAGCTGGGATTTATTTTGCAAATACTACATATTATGATTATTAGTTTGCACCCCATTTTCTTTTTTTGGCTCGAGTTCTGTGCCTATTCCCTACTATAGAGCATCCTTTTTAAAGGGGCCACAACTCCTAGGATGCTTCTTGCAGGATGATGGGAGTTATAGTTTCTTCCAATTCCCAAGCTCTGATTTATTTTGTGCTTATCCTATTTTGGACATTACATGCACCTTCCATGGTCCCCTACCTAATGTAATATTCTGATTTTTATATTATTATATTATATGAATTATATTGTATTATGATTACATTTATTATATTATAATATTATATTTGTTTACATACCACTTTCTTCTCTTCAGGATGTGAACTATGCTAAAAACAATGCAGTATCCAATTTACATAGATCCTATTTTGTATATGGAGTGCATCCTACCTCCTTTTTTTAATGTAATATTCTGATTTATTATACTGTATTTATTACTATATTTATTACTAGCCGCCCCCTGCCACACGTTGTTGTGGATCTCATGGGGGTTCTATGTGGGAGGTTTGGCCCAATTCTATAGTTGGTGGGATTCAGAATGCTCTTTGATTGTAGGTGAACTATAAATCCCAGCAACTACAACTCCTGAATGACAAGATTCTATTTTGCCCAAACTCTACCAGTGTTCACATTTGGGCATATTGAGTATTTGTGTAGAGTTTGGTCCAGATTCATCATTGTTTGAGTCCTCAGTGATCGCTGGATGTAGGTGAACTACAGCTCCAAAACCAAAGGACGCTGCCCACCAAACCCTTCCAGTGTTTTCTGTTGGTCATGGGAGAACTGTGTGCCAAGTTTGGTTCAATTCCATCGTTGGTGGGGTTCAGAATACTCTTTGATTGTAGGTGAACTATAAATCCCAGCAACTACAATTCCCAAATGACGAAATCAATTTTTTTGAGTGAAGGACATACATTGGGTTGTTAGGTGTCTTGTGTCCAAATTTGGTGTCAATTCGTCCAGTGGTTTCTGAGTTTTGTTAATCCCACAAACGAACATTACATTTTTATTTATATAGACTAGCCGTCTCCCGCCACGCTTTGCTGTGGCCCAGTCTGTTTATATGTGTTGTGTGTGTATATATTTGTGTATATGTGTTTTTGCATATGTATATGGTTTTGCCCATGCCTTGTAATTTAATTTTTGTTGGTTTTTTTTTGGCTTTTTAAGTCCCTTCTGCTGTGTTTTTCAGTGGTTTTTATGAGTGATGGTCACTCATTGGTGTCTTGTGTCCAAATTTGGTGTCAATTCGTCCAGTGGTTTTTGTGTTATGTTCATCCCACAAGCGAACATGACATTTTTATTTATATATATAGATACTTATTTATTTATATAGATACTTATTTATAAAAAGCCAAAAAAAAAAACCAACAAAAATGCAGTCTCTGTGGATGTGACACAAGCACCTGCTTGTCCTATTTTGATGGATTCTTTTCAGCTTGTGAAGCCCGAGGATGTGGACAAGATACTTGGAGGAATGAGGCCCACCACGTCCATCCTAGACCCCTGCCCATCCTGGCTTCTGAAGGAGGCCAGAGGGGGATTGGCCGAGTGGGTAACGGTGGTGGTTAATGCCTCCCTTCGGGAAGGCAAGATTCCAGCGAGCCTAAAACAGGCTATTATAAAGCCGCTGTTGAAGAAACCATCACTGGACCCCACTAAATTTGACAACTTTCGGCCTGTTTCCAATCTCCCCTTTTTGGGCAAAGTCATGGAAAGCGTGGTGGCCTCACAACTCCAGGTATTCTTGAGAGACACGGATTATCTGGATCCGGCACAGTCTGGTTTCAGACCGGGACATGGTACTGAGACGGTCTTGGTCGCCTTAGTGGATGATCTCCGCCGGGAGCTAGACAGGGGGAGTGTGTCCCTGTTGGTGCTCTTGGATCTCTCAGCGGCCTTCGATACCGTCGACCACGGTATTCTTCTGGGACGCCTTGCAGAGATGGGCCTTGGGGGCACCGCTTTGCGGTGGCTCCAATCATTTCTGGAGGGACGTACCCAGAAGGTGTTATTGGGGGACTCCTGTTCAACACCACAGCCGTTGACCTGCGGTGTTCCTCAGGGTTCCATACTCCCATGCTGTTTAACATCTACATGAAGCCGCTGGGTGAGATCATCCGGAGTTTTGGGTTTCATCTGTACGCAGATGATGTCCAACTCTGTCACTCCTTTCCACCTGCTACTAAGGAGGCTGTTCAGGTCCTGAACCGGTGCTTGGCCGCTGTAACGGTCTGGATGAGGCGAACAAATTGAAATTAAATCCAGACAAGACAGAGGTACTCCTGGTCAGTCGCAAGGCCGAACAGGGTATAGGGTTACAGCCTGTGCTGGACGGGGTCGCACTCCCCTTGAAGGCGCAGGTTCGCAGCTTGGGTGTGACCCTGGATTCATCGTTGAGCCTGGATCCCCAGGTTTCAGCGGTGACCAGGGGAGCATTTGCACAGCTTAGGCTCGTGCGCCAGTTGCGCCCGTACCTCGGGAAGTCTGACTTGGCCACGGTAGTACACGCTCTGGTCACATCCCGCCTTGACTACTGCAACGCTCTCTACGTGGGGCTGCCCTGAAGACGGCCCGGAAGCTTCAGCTAGTCCAGCGCGCGGCAGCCATGTTGTTAACTGGAGCGGCGCAGGGAGCACACAACGCCCTTGTTGTCCCAGCTCCACTGGCTGCCGATCTGCTACCGGGCCCAATTTAAGGTGCTGGTGTTATCCTACAAAGCCCTAAACGGTTCCGGCCCAAAATACCTTTCGGACCACATCTCGGCCTATGAGCCCACGAGGACCTTGAGATCATCTGGGGAGGCCCTTCTCTCGTCCCGCCTGCCTCGCAGGCACGCCTGGCGGGGACGAGAGAGCGAGCCTTCTCGGTGGTGGCCCCCCGGCTATGGAACTCCCTCCCTGCTGAAATCAGACAGGCACCTTCCCTCATGGCCTTTCGCAAGGGCCTGAAAACTTGGCTCTTCGAAAAGGCCTTTAGCTAGTGCTATGTTTCCTTGGAATGATCACCGGAATGGACTATGACGATGAGATTGACTATGACCCTAATCTAGACGAAGCGGATTTTTATATGTGTGTGATTGTCTTGTTCTATTGTAAATTGTTGTTTTTTCTATGTTTTGTACACCGCCACGAGTCGCCTCCGGGCTGAGAGTGGCGGTTAACAAGTGCAAGTAATAAATAAATAAATAAATACCGCTTTACTTTCTCAAAGCAGTAAACAGTGCTCAAGACAATGCAATATTTAATTTGCACGGATCCTTCTTTGCATATGGCATCTCTCCTACATTGCATCCTCCCTTAAGTTTTTATTTAATGATTCCAATTAGTTAAAGGTAAAGGTTTCCCCTTGACATTAAGTCCAGTCGTGTCCAACTCGGAGACTCTGGTGCTCATCTCCATCTCTAAGTCAAAGAGCTGGTGTTGTTCATAGACACCTCCAAGGTCATGTGGCCGGCATGACTCCATGAAGCACTGTTACCTTCCCGCTAGAGCGGTACCTATTGATCTACTCACATTTGCATGTTTTCGAACTGGCTTCAAACTACAAGAAAGGAGATTCCATCTGAACGTTAGGAAGAACTTCCTGACTGTGAGAGCTGTTCAGCAGTGGAACTCTCTGCCCCGGAGTGTGGTGGAGGCTCCTTCTTTGGAGGCTTTTAAACAGAGGCTGGATGGCCATCTGTCAGGGTGCTTTGAATGCAATATTCCTGCTTCTTGGCAGAATGGGGTTGGACTGGATGGCCCACGAGGTCTCTTCCAACTCTTTGATTCTATGATTCTATGCTAGGTTGGCAGGAGCAGGGGCTAACAGTGGGAGCTCACCCCACTCCCCGGATTTGAACCACTGACCTTTTGGTCAGCAAGTTCAGCAGCTCAGCGGTTTAACCTGCTGTGCCACCAGGGGCGGCATTTTGCAATTACCTTATCCTATTTTGCGCATTGCATATCTCCTGCCTTTTATTTACCCTGTCTTCTTTTTAAAATGTAATATTCGGATTTATATTTGCATTGATCCTATATTTTGAATTTATTTTAAATTAATTTATATTAATACAAGATGTTGTTGTTGTTCATTCGTTCAGTTGTCTC